CAGTTTTCTTTGCCTAAACTGCAAGATACGGATGTGGACGACATGTGGTTTCAACAAGATGGTGCCACATGCCATACAGCCCGAGAAACAATTCAATTACTGCATGAGTCATTTCCTGGTCATGTAATTTCCCGTTTTGGTGATCAGAATTGGCCGCCCAGATCATGCGATTTAACGCCGTTGGACTTTTTTCTTTGGGGTTTTTTGAAGTCTAAGGTTTATGCCAACAAGCCCACAATCACCCACGCCTTGAAGGGGGAAATTGAGCACTGTATCAACAAAATTCAGCCACATTTATGCAAAACGGGCATGGAAAATTTAAACAAAAGAGTGCATATGTGCCAGCAAAGCTGTGGAGGCCATTTACCCGATATGCTATTCTATACATAACCCTATACTGTATCCTTTATGAATCAATAAAAAATTTACAATTTTTAATTATAAACCTGTGTTGTTTTCTATCAAAATTACTTCTTGCGTGAATTTTGGGACACCCTTTAGTATAGTGGGAGGGAAGGTTTGAAATTCATTTCCTTGCATATGGATATGCACTAATTTTTAGGAAGACTATCTTTTCCCTATTATGCTACCTTGGAGCCCTAGCTGAAAATGGCATATATGCGAGTCTATTTCTGGATTCTTTATCCTGTTCCATTGATCTTTTTATCTTGTCTTTATGGCAATACCATTTTTGTTATTATGAATTTAGCTTAAGTTGACCAAACTTGTTTTTTTCTTCTTTTTGTTAATCCTCACTTGAGGATATATTTTTTTTCCCATTGATTTTTAGGGAGAATGGAAGAGAGAGGGAAAGACAGAGAGAAACATCAATGTAAGAGAAACACATCGATTGGTTGCCTCCTGCACGTGCCCGGACCAGGGCCTGGGCCAGGGAGGAGCCTGCAACCAGGGTACATGCCCTTGACTGGAATCAAACCCAGGACCCTTTGGTCCGCAGGCTGACACTCTATCCACTGAGCCAAACCAGCTAGGGCTTGTTTTTTGTGTTGTTGTTTTTTTTTTCTTTTCAAAACTGTTTTGGCTATTCTAATTCCTTTGCATTCACATAAAAATTGTACAATCAGATTGTCAAGTTCTAAAAGAAAAAAAAAGCCTGATGAAATTTGATTGGATTGCACTGATTCTATATATCAATTTAGGAGAGAGATGCCATCTTAAAAGAGCATATTAATCCATGAATATGGTACATCTCCCTGTATATTTAGGCCCTTGGTTTCTCAGTAATGTTTTGTAAATTTTAATGTATAGGTTTCATATCTTTTATAAAAATTATGCCAAACGCCCTGGCCAGTGTGGCTCAGCTGGTTAGAGCATTGTCCCAGCACCAAAGAGTTACTGATTTGATTCCCAATCAGGGCACATGCCTAGGTTACAGGTTCGATCCCCCATCAAAGTGTGTGTACAGGAGGCAGCCAAATGATTTTTCTCTCATACATCAATGTGTGTGGCTTCTCTCTCTCTCTCTCTCTCTCTCCCAATCAGTAGAGCATATCTATCCTTGGGTGAGGATTGGGGAAAGAAATTATGCCAAACTATTTTTTTATGCTATTGTTTTTACATTTCAGTTTTAAACTGTTCATTGCTGGTGATAAAGAAAATTTCAGACACTTAATTTCCTGATCTAGTTGACTTTTATTTAACAATTCATAAATTGGAAAGCATTAAGTCTAGAAAACAGGAAAGAGTTTCCAAGGGTTGTACAAAGAGAGTTTCATAGACCAAAGTGAGCAGGAACAAGAAAGTTACACTGGGCATTGTTAATTGTTACACAGGGGTACTTTCCTTATACGGAGCAAAGGAAAGCTTGGAGCAGGGTTAGGTAACTTGTGCTAAGCAGGCAAGTGCTCATTGGTTGGCACAGAACTATGTTTTCTGGGAGAGCTGAGCACAGGAATTTAGTTAAGGTTTCGTTTGCTGACATGGGGTTTAGCATAAGCAACTCCATCTTGGGCCTAGTCAGGACACTTTAACACTAGTATATAGAAATATTATTGGTATTTTGTATATTAACCTTTATCATAATTACCTTGTTAAACTCACTGGTTCTAACTTTTTAATTAAAAATGTGTTTTTTATTGATTTTAGATTTTAGAGACAGGGAGGGAGAGGGAGAGAAAGCATCAATGTGAGAGAGAAACATTGATACATGCCTCCACTGGGGATTGAACCAGCAACTTTTTAGTGCACAGGACAATGCTCAAAAAACTGAGCCACTCAGGCAGGGCTGGTTCTAGACTTAAAAAAAAAAATAGACTCTTTAGAATTTTCTACATAGGAGACATCATCTGCAAATGATTATAACTGTACTCCCTTTACAAACTGTCT